CCGTTGGCCTCGCCATGACGAGGGAGGTGCTTGTTGAAAGACGAGCTCTTGCTGAGAACCTGAAAAAATTGCAGGAGCAAATCCCAAGAGGTGGGAGAATTCCGAGTGACCTAGGAGTATTTTTTTTCAAGTCACTTCTTTGCAGTAACGTTATACATAATATAGATGTAGATGTAAATGAGACTCTTCGTGCTGGTTTCAGATGTGCACATGTTGCTTCGTAAGAGGTATTCGTGAAAGGCTTCTCAAGATTCAATTTGGAAAGAAATACTAATCATAACTCACACATGTGATCAAAGTTATGTAAATTTCTTGTTCTCAAACTTCATCCAATACCTCCTACAAAATAAATTTGACAGTAAATTTAGTTCCCTAACGCCAGTCGCTTCAAGTACATTATATTTAGACATCTTCTGGCATGTTCCTTCTTTCACTCTCCACATCTCCCATAACTTTGGCAGGAGATCCAAGAGACAGCGCAAACGAGTCTCGCTACTTGATTGCGATTTGATCCATTTGCTTTCTTCTTCAGTTGATGACATTCCCTTCGTTGTCTTTACAGCTGCATCCAGCTTAACTGCTCTTCAGAAAGAATGCAGACTCCTCAGAGAAAAGAGAGAGGAGGTGACAAAGGTCGCGGATGTCGCGGAGGAGAGAGTGAAAATCCCACTTGAGAAGGAGAAGGCTATCAACTGCAACGAGTGCAGTAGGACCACCTGCGAATACCCCGCATCGATTTCCAAACCAAGGGACGTCAAGCACTGCCATTGTATGACCCGGAACGAACAGAAGAAGATGATATGCAGTAAATGTGGCTGCTCCTGGAGGAGTCACTCTCTGGATGCCAAACGCTACGAAGAAAAGTCGATATTCAGGAGTAAAACTCAAGAAAACTCGGAGAGAGTTACTGAACATATTAAGACCCAAGTGAATCTTGAGAAGAAAGTCTTGGAACTTACCACTAAAATTAAGAAAAATCAGGTACAGTTGTTCGCCCAGATCCAGAAGGCTCATAAGACCACCGCCCGTCTGAAGGAAATTGCTCTAAACCCAAATCCTTTGACAATGGAAGAGTACATCGAATTCCTGATAGAAGCAGAGAGAAAAGGTGCAGAAGATGGATTTAAGAATCGGATCGCGCACTTAGAGGAAGCCAAGAGAGCATCTGCTGTATGCAAGCAGATCTTAGATGAAAATGGCTCCAATGAAGCCATCATGCCTAACGTCATGACCATACTGGAGAAAGAAAATATCGATTTTGAGACGCTGGGGGTCGTGGAAACTCCAGGTGCTGCAATGCACCAGCCAAACAGCATGGTGGGAACTCTTAAGGCTTTCTTCATCTCCATCCTTGGGAGGAACTCAAGGAAGACATGAATCGAAACATTATAATTTGATTTTATTCAGAAGGCTTTCGCTAAGCAATTTATTCATTCCAAGTTAAATGTTATTGACTTAAAAGCTGTTCATGCATGAATTTCCGTTGTTTTTCTCTCGGAATGTTTCCGCATTTCATGTCTGTGATACATGTAGAAGTGATTTGCTCCTTTTATTTTGGGGATCAATTGCTCTGAACAGTCATG